CCATCGCGTCTATCTTCTGTCCTCAACCCTTCCGACATTCTGCTTTCATTGCAGACTTTTCCTTGTTTTAAAGCAAGCATGTAAAAGTAAAGAAAAGGCATATAGAAATTACGTAAGATAGAACCTTGTACTTACTTACCAATTAAAATCAGTGTTGTTGTTTTTGAGCAGGGGCATGGGAAAAGTGGTGAGTCAAGAAAAGTTGAGAAAGAAAAGCAGCAGTCTTGGGTCTGTCAGAGGCTCCCAGCTTGTAAACCTGGTAGAATGTTTACCTTAGGATCCCCAAGCATTTGTTATACAACATGTCCATTCTGTCACTGTTGCTTCCCATTTTCAACCTTCCTCTGGAGGAGGAAAGTGGTTGTGATTGATGATGGTGTCTTCTCCCCAGACCGATAAAAAGAGAGTAGAAGTAGGATGGGGAGGAGAAGCAGTCCTTTTAAGAAGGTTGAATAAAAAAAATGATTGTGTGATAAATTCATTTTTCTACAGCAGTTTGTTACTCCAAAATGGATTCTGACTCATAGTCACCCTGTAGGACAAGGTAGAACTATCCCTGTACATTTCTGAAACCGTCACTCTGTACAGAAGTAGAAAGCGTCCTCTTTCTCTCGAGTAGGGGCTAGTTACATCAGTTTCATGGTGTGTTTTTTCCCCCTGTCAAATAAGTAAAATCACACTGCAGAGATTGTTTCATGATCCAGAAAATGGTTATATGGTCTTGTGTGCATCTGTTGGTTGATATTTAAAACCTCTATTGTCCAAAACTTGTACAACTTGCCTTCACAAGTTCAAATTCTAGAGAAATAGATACTTTTATTGATTATACTGACTTAAGATTTGAGCTATTTTTCAGTTCTTAATATGTGTGATTGCTAGTAAGTCCCTGGAGGCAACAAGAGTTCCCTGAAGTCAATAGAGACATCTTAGAGAATAATGAACATGAGTTCGGGTTACTGTGAATCCTGCTGACACTTGGGTTTTCTTACTGTAGGAAGAATTCTTGGTGCAATCAAGAAAAGTTTTATGCACGGACCTCCCTGAAGACTTTCTAAGGAGCAAAGGTATTTGTATCTTTCAAATATTTTCCTTTTCCCACTTATTACATACATGACTTTGGTTCACAGCTTCTATTTTGGAAATGTAAAGCGCTGTTTGACAAGATAGGCTTAATAAGTATTGCTATTGTCCATAGATGTACTTATATAATAATAGAACACGACCTTATTTTTTTTATAGTGCTTTATCTCCAGTTACTTTTTCTTTAATGAGTTTCTGTTGAGAGTGTAAAGAGCCCCCATGAAGTAGTGAGCTATGAATTAAGCTACTAAACATAAGGTCAGCAGTTTGAAACCACCAGCTGCTCCAAAGAAGAAAAATGAGGCTTTCAACTTTTGTAAAAATGTACAGTCTCAGAAACGCACAGGGGCAGTTCTAATCTAACCAAGAGGCCTGCTGTGAGTTGGAATTGGCTCAAGGGTAGTTTTTGTTTGTTTGTTTATTTGTTTGTTTTATGACAGTGTGTTAGACATTTACTGTGGATGTAAAACCTTTGATCTTATAAAATGAAGCTGCTGGTTTGAAAGAATTAATCTGGATGGGGCAGAATGTACCCCGTATAGTTTAACACCACCACGACTCAATTACATTCTTGGTTTTTGAGGTA